GCGCATCCCAAACGGCATTGATCAACGCCCATGCTTTGTCCTTACCATTAGACTATTGTCCGTGCAATGAGGTAGTGCGAAAATTATGTGTTGGTCTACAGGGTAAAAAGGTGAGGGTTGAGCCTGTTTGGAGTTCGTTTGCAAAGGGTTCATGAACAAAAAGTAACTCACCAGTATGAACTCGTTTGTGTGCAGTCAGATTAGCTGCTTGGGAGAACGATTTGCCACATAGCTGAAATTCTGAGAATCGACTGTTTATTGATTTATTGATCGCTTCGACTTCTGGATTACAGTACCTGACATCTGAACGGCTTGTTTGCTGGGATTTCTCGTGCTATCGGTTTCAATATTGACGGCTTCATTTCTATATGGCTCGCCATGTCCATATACCTGAAAACAATTTCGTATAGCACTACCGTAACTAAGTAATCATGAAACCCCCTTCGTTAGATCCTTTTTCAAAGATCTGAAGGAAGAATTGGTGAAAACATAATTGTTACTGTACCCATAGGTTCGATGCTCTGGTGGTAGCGTGTGCAGGATTTGTGGCGGTGGTATCCATTCGGTAGGACGGGACCAATCTGGACGCCATCCATATGGAATGCTGAAGTTCAGAATAATATGCGATATTAGCTAGTAAATATGATTTTTACAGATGTTCTGAGCTGTAAGAATCCTTGCCCGACGAGCTGTGGAGGGAAATCAATGTGCCTGGGGAAAATGAGGGATGGGACTTACCAGTACGTCCCACTGCATCGCAAGAACTACCATTTAGAGGTCCAGTGATGTACAGAACTGAGTCAGCCACTCGATTGGTCGACATGGGATGCAATGGGCCATATGGCCTCAGTGAAGTCGTATTATGCAATAAAGGCAGCCCTGCTAATTTCGGGGTTTCCAGTGAGGTTTGACCTCGCAGATCATTTGTGCACTGCTGTGATTCCCCAATATTGAATACGAAGAAGTGCTTCTGTTAGGGCTTTCTTCGCTCAAGACCTACGAGACTGAAACCATGAGAAGAAAGAAGCGTCAGGTGTTTCCAAGAGAAAAGAAACTTACACAGGTTCGCCGGTAAGTACTGGTTCTGTGAGCGGTACTGGGGCTGGTGGTGGTGGATAGAAGTCGTACGGTGTGACCGAAATCGGAGTCTGATATACGGGATCGAAGAACTCGGCTCGTTCATAGCTGTTATAGGATGCCATGGTTCTTGTGATGGAGGAGGTATGAGCGAATGAGGAATTGAAATGAACCACCTGGTTGTATGTGTGTGGGGACAGAGACGTCTCCATCTACCGTATACAGGTGATAGGGATGCCTAATCCGTCGGCTAATCCCACCTCTGATGGGCTTCACCTCAACTGAGACGAGTTCTCGATAATTATTACGTGTGCCGGATTAGCCAGGATGAATTTCAATTGTTGGTTTAGAAATTGGCCAATAAAGCCTAATTTTGTGATTACTGAACTGATAAAGCTTTGATGATAGTTTTCATTTTCTGACTAATTGAAGGCTGAGTTCGAGCGAAACGATGATCCGATAGTGTCATAGGTAGCACAATTGCCCGGTAAGTAGATACGGGTTCGAGTCCCGTCTGCGGCCATGTGTTTGTCCATAGTCTAGCATTCTGGTGATAGCATTGGTAACAAACATATCAACACTGGAACTTTGTGATCTTAATTGTTCAATTATGCTGTGATCAGTTACCAGTATTGAAAGGTAAATTCAGTTTTACCAGAACATGTGAGTGTGGTGTGGATGGGTCGCAGCCGGTCGCGAGTCAGTCGAAGTTCATTGCCATTTTGAAGGCGGGTTTGACGATAAGAAAGTAGCTCAGTAGAAATAAGGGTAAAGATGGTCAGTAGTGCACGGATGAAGAAAAAACCATGAAAAAAGGCCCAAAACCCGAAAAATTGAACACCTTCCTTGCTCATCTGATGGGACCTTCACGTAATCGCCTTTCAGCATTAAAGCCCCCTTAGCTGCATGGCTAGAGTCAGAGGGCAATATGAGGAACGGAGTACTGCGCCAAGAGCTCGGTGGCAGGAGATTCATGTAGATCGCCGGGCAACTTCTCGCTGCGAAGAGATGCGGCCAAACCTCCGCAGGTGTCAGATTTCCAACTCGCTAGTTGTGCATCGCTTAGTTTCGGAAGTCTGACGCCGGCCTCAGGGGTAACGCTGTTATGCCCTGGACATCTCAAAATGTGTGTTTAGATGGTCGTTATGCGCGCAGAGATTGGCCAAACCTCAGTCGATCCAGCACTCCCCACAAAGCCTAGTTTGTCCTTGAGTATGTTTGTGCAGGGCTTGCTGAGGAGCGCTTTAGCTGGCTTATTTCAGCAATTGGTATTAATCGACCTCATGACTTTCATCGCTGATAATGTGCGAGTAATGCTTCCGTATGCGCGGTCTGCCTGCACAGTGCATCCCTGTACATCTCAATAGGGTCAGTAGCGCCAATTTGTCAATCCCAGGTCGAGCCTAATGTCAGATTGACATACAAGCAAATCTCTATCAAAGCCTCAAAGCACGATGACCGAATGGCGAAGGATGACGTAATTGAGCGTCAGTCGTGGATCAGACCACTCAGCGCGCTAGAGGTATGGTTGAGGCAGCCTCCAAATGTTCTTCCACCAATGCCGCCAGTGATGTCATGCCCCTTCTTCCAACTATCGAGTTTACTGCATTTGATTATTACCAATTTAGAAATTCAGAAGACCACGTCCAAAAGTGACTGGGTATACCAATCTGTGCTCGTAAGCGGTTTGCTTTGTTCTGCTAGCTCTTTAAAAGGGCGCATCTGCCTTTTGTGTACTACTTTTGTGACTATCCTTCAATAAGGTCGGATGTGGTATGATGGCAAGACAGGGGATCAAAGAAGGGAAAATACGCGAGATAGCACGTCGTTTGAGAGAGCACGCTGATCTCTACATCAATGCACGCTGATCTCACCACCTCTCGCGTCGGGTGGAATGCGTTGGAATGAGAGGTCCGTGTGAAGTTTCCTTTCGTAAGGATAATAGTCGCCCCTCACTGACGCAATTTTGAACGAATCTGGAGTGATTAGGTCGCTACGGACTCATAATTCCCTAGCGGTATCATGCCACTCATCGTGCTTAGATCTCAGGGAGTTTACCTTGAAGGCATGCTCAGGTATAGGATTGCTGTAGCTCTTGAATACGAACACGAATGTATTGGTGCGAAATGGGCCGGCAGCAAAGAAAAATGGAGAGGAATCTGTCGAAAGCATTAAGGTTGAGCGCGTTCTCACCTTTGCAATGGGCTGTGATAAGGCAATGAGAAATCGGTAAAGCACTAGAGGAGAAGTATGAGTCTAGTAAAGCGCAACAGATTAGAGGAGTCCAAATAACAGCCTGATTTAAAGAAAACATGCAAATTGCAGCAGCCTTAGTATTTGCCAACGGCAGTGCGGGTGAATTTCCCTGTACCGGGAATGCCAGAATCTGCCCTGTCTTTGAGGCCTACAACGATAGGAAAGTTTCAACACGATCGAGCTGCCGATGTGATGCCTCCAATATATGTAAAAAATGAAGTTGAATGAGAGAAAGGCCACTGATCAACACAGGAATACGATACGTTCATGTACTCAAATTTTCGTCTAAAAACTGAAACGAGTGGTGTTTAGAATTTTTGAATTACTCGTTGGTTTATACTATGTGTATTAAAGAGCGTAATTTGATGAATAGCTGTAGGCATATTAATCTGACTTTATCGCTGTTTCCGGTCCATCTCTTTCGTTTTCGTAGTGATTTCTTCTTACCAGGAAGGTCTTTCAGGACATGGAGCCCTTTTTGAAAACGGTTTTTTGCATGATAAAGGGGCACATGCATGAAGTACAAAACTAGGCTCCATTTTTTCTGAGCGGCCCTCTGGATGCCAAAAAAGGAGTGAAAAAAATTTCTTCAGAAATCGGAGTTTTCACACCTTCAACGTTCTTTATATCACTCGTTATGTTAAGTGGACGCACAATAGAAGGTTTTCTTCACCTGAACGTTGAAAACAGCGTGGAATAAAGCCAATACCAAAAATTGTATATAATAAGTGCTCAAAAGCACAAGGAAGTTTCATCAGAGTCGTTGACATTCATTGTACAGCGGTGGTCGGATGGTCGAGTGGATAGCGTGATGGACTCTGGTTGGCACGGTTTGTTCGAAGTTGTTGGTTCGGTTCCCCTCCATGCTCGGTTTTGCATTTTTCCGATTATCACTTTTCTGCATTTGCATGTGCTTGCGCGTGAACTTAAAGCCTATAGGTGTCATTTCCATGAACTTTCTCCCACAATTCTGCGATATTTCGTAGTACCATGTTTTTCAGTTGTGTACGAAATTCCGTTTACAAGCAATAAATAACTAGCAGTTATGGTAAAACTCAATGAAGCATCTGAATCACAGGCGCAGATCACACCAACTGCATCTAACGAACGCCAGAAAAGTGAAGTTGTCATTTTCTTCGCAAGGAACACCTACTCCATTTCCCTTGAAGGCAGATTGCCGGCGTTGAGGAACGTCCAGGATGCTCGTCGACGTAGCCAGTGCCCACCCAGGCATACGCCATGCATCGACGAGATCAAGGAGTGATGCCAGATTGCCCCATGGCAGGAACTGCGGTGGAAGTGTAACTATCAACCAAACGTGCCGCTTGCTATCATCTCGAAGCTGTCTCCAAGTGGGAAGCGTGCATGCCGTACTGACTATGGGCTAACCCATGGCCCAATTTTTGAATTCGGGCCGAAATCTTGATCTTCTCTAAAACTGCGGCTATAAGGGTAATTATAGGCGCTGATTACGAATCTGACGTCCATTTTTGATGGAGGCGCGATATTGCGCCATTTTAGCCTCCTCTCGGGCCAACTCGGCGCCGCTTTAGCGCCATACAATTTTCGCCCCAATTCTGGGCAGAAAGCTAATCAGAAAGGTTGATGATGACCCTGATTGTAAGAACAGTACCTATTTTTATCGGCGGTAACATTTGGAGTCATTTAACATGCGCTAACATGAAATGCAAAATTTTGTCATCAGCCGGGACCGATCCCTCGACCAATTTTTCATACCTTTTTTGGCACTCACAGGGCCGCTCAGAAAAAATGGAGCCTAGTTTTGTACTCCATGCATGTGCCCCTTTATCATGCAAAAAACCGTTTTCAAAAAGGGCTCCATGTCCTGAAAGACCTTCCTGGTAAGATTGACTCTGCGCAGGGGACGCCGCTGTCGAGAGGACGATGCTAGGAGTAACCCTATACACGCAAGTGCAGAGGGGAATCCGGAGTGCCGAACTACGCCAACGATCGAAGATCAGGGACGCTGCCGTTTTCGCCAAGGAATCGAAGATAAGGTGGGCCGGACACGTCATGCGATTTTGCGATGACCGTTGGACCAGAGCGGTTACCGACTGGATCCCTCGGGACGTCAAACGAACACCTGGACGACCGCCGGCCCGATGGTCAGACTTCTTCACGAAAGCTCTGAACGAAAGGAATGAAGGACATCGTGTCCCTCGAGCGAGGAGGGTCCACTGGACAACTCTTGCACGCGACAGGGACGAATGGAGACGTTGCTGGCGCCCGCTCGAGCAATTCGATGATCAACGGGACGACAGGTGATACAGGTGATTACTGGTTTATTGTATTTCCCTTTAAACCTCGCATGGTGAATGGTCTGCGCAGACGACAAAAGGTTCAAGAGTTTTCACACCTTCAACGTGGTTTATATCACTCGTTATGTTAAGTGGACGCACAATAGAAGGTTTTCTTCACCTGAACGTTGAAAACAGCGTGGAATAAAGCCAATACCAAAAATTGTATATAATAAGTGCTCAAAAGCACAAGGAAGTTTCATCAGAGTCGTTGACATTCATTGTACAGCGGTGGTCGGATGGTCGAGTGGATAGCGTGATGGACTCTGGTTGGCACGGTTTGTTCGAAGTTGTTGGTTCGGTTCCCCTCCATGCTCGGATTTTGCATTTTTCCGATTATCACTTTTCTGCATTTGCATGTGCTTGCGCGTGAACTTAAAGCCTATAGGTGTCATTTCCATGAACTTTCTCCCCAATTCTGCGATATTTCGTAGTACCATGTTTTTCAGTTGTGTACGAAATTCCGTTTACAAGCAATAAATAACTAGCAGTTTATGGTAAAACTCAATGAAGCATCTGAATCACAGGCGCGGATCACACCAACTGCATCTAACGAACGCCAGAAAAGTGAAGTTGTCATTTTCTTCGCAAGGAACACCTACTCCATTTCCCTTGAAGGCAGATTGCCGGCGTTGAGGAACGTCCAGGATGCTCTCGACGTAGCCAGTGCCCACCCAGGCATACGCCATGCATCGATGAGACCAAGGAGTGATGCACAGATTGCCCCATGGGCAGGAAACTGCGGTGGAAGTGTAACTATCAACCAAACGTGTCGCTTGCTATCATCTCGAAGCTGTCTTCCAAGTGGGAAGCGTGCACGCCGTACTGACTATGGGCTAACCCATGGCCCAATTTTTGAATTCGGGCCGAAATCTTGATCTTCTCTAAAACTGCGGCTGTAAGGGTAATTATAGGCGCTGATTACGAATCTGACGTCCATTTTTGATGGAGGCGCGATATTGCGCCATTTTAGCCTCCTCGGGCACCAACTCGGCGCCGCTTTAGCGCCATACAATTTTCGCCCCAATTCTGGGCAGAAAGCTAATCAGAAAGGTTGATGATGACCCTGATTGTAAGAACAGTACCTATTTTTATCGGCGGTAACATTTGGAGTCATTTAACATGCGCTAACATGAAATGCAAAATTTTGTCATCAGCCGGGACCGATCCCTCGACCAATTTTTCATACCTTTTTTGGCACTCACAGGGCCGCTCAGAAAAAATGGAGCCTAGTTTTGTACTCCATGCATGTGCCCCTTTATCATGCAAAAAACCGTTTTCAAAAAGGGCTCCATGTCCTGAAAGACCTTCCTGGTAAGAACTTGCTCTGCGCAGCAGGACGCGCTGTCGAGAGGACGATGCTAGGAGTAACCCTATACACGCAAGTGCAGAGGGGAATCCGGAGTGCCGAACTACGCCAACGATCGAAGATCAGGGACGCTGCCGTTTTCGCCAAGGAATCGAAGATAAGGTGGGCCGGACACGTCATGCGATTTTGCGATGACCGTTGGACCAGAGCGGTTACCGACTGGATCCCTCGGGACGTCAAACGAACACCTGGACGACCGCCGGCCCGATGGTCAGACTTCTTCACGAAAGCTCTGAACGAAAGGAATGAAGGACATCGTGTCCCTCGAGCGAGGAGGGTCCACTGGACAACTCTTGCACGCGACAGGGACGAATGGAGACGTTGCTGGCGCCCGCTCGAGCAATTCGATGATCAACGGGACGACAGGTGATACATGGTGATTACTGGTTTATTGTATTTCCCTCTAAACCTCGCATGGTGAATGTGTCTCGCGGACGACAAAGGTTCAAGCCATTTCTAGGTTATTCTTGCACACAGATCTACAACTGGTAAAATGGCTATGTAAGAATGAGGATCAGTTTTTTACGGAACACGACTAAGTGAATCCATTTTTAAGACATTTTTCCGTCAAAATAATAGTGCCTGAATCGATGGAGGCCTGTAAGGGGAAGATGTGAATGTTCGTGTGAGCGAAGACACCTTCGATCTAGAGGAGAAGCACGAACTCCAAGTTTTCAATGGATGTGTTACTAAAAGTTACCACGCGAAGCCATGTAGATCATTTTGCGTGCGCAGCAACTAATTAGTGGGGCACATCTTCCACTATTGTGTCCCCATCCGAGCACGCTCCATCGCTTCATATCCACGTCACCGATTCTCTTGTTATGCGGATGCCACTAATCAGTTTTCAGACACCACGACCAGATGGTGCAGCATCGTACGGTGACTTTTGTTTCTATTCTCCTTTAGTTTTGGTGATTAATGCATTTTTTGTGCGCAGCCACGTCAGACTATCGTCGCTGGCTTTCGTATTCTCCATATCTCGAATTCAGATTAGGCCTGTCCGGCGGCCGCCGCACTTGATGGAAGTTGCGCGGATAAGCTGCTTCCAGCATGCTTTGCTGATATCCAACGGAGTATGTTAGAAACAGCCTATCCACACGGCTTCTATCAAGTGCGGCAACGGCCACGTCAAATCCATAGCCACGCCTAATCTGACTTCGAGATATCGACTGTACACCGGTATATCAGAACTATCGTCGCTGGCTTTTGGGAGGGGGGGGGTGGTGTGTAGTGGCAAGTGGCACGCTTACCACGCGAGCGGTCCGGGGATCAAATCCTGGGTCGTGAGTCGCCCGGGCCAACCAAGCCTTCCATCCCTCCGGGGTCGGTTAATTGGTACCAGACTTGTCTGGGAGGATAAAAACACTGACTTGTACATCGGCTGGCCCCCGCAAGTCATTGTATAGGCCACATCGCATTCAAACGCCACTACGAATGTACAAATGGAAGTAGAATGCGTGCCGCATCCCAAAAAGGGATTGATCAACGGCAAATGCTTTATCCTTTTATCGGTAGTGGTGAGAGAGAGGTAGTGGTAGTAGAAGTTGGAGTCCGTTGGGGTTCATGTAGCAATGGATGGGGAGGGGTCGTTTTGGAGGGGTTTCCGAATTTAGCGGAAATTTCAGACGAGAAGCGTGAATTGGAGAAAAGCTAGGCATTTACCAAGTTTTTTTAGTTTTAGTTTTTTTAGTTTTGTAGTTTTTTTTTACCAAGACTTACCAAGAGCGTTTTTCAGGTCACTTAGAAAATATTTCAATTCACGGAGCGAGTTTTCAAAGCGGTCCATGCATGCTGTAGACGTGCACGGAGCATAACAACAGCAACTGATGATCATTTTCCCAGGAAAAGGGCAGGAAATTTTTTCCTGAAATGTGAAACTTTTTCATTTTTAATAAACTCTGCAGCATTTGAAGCGTCGATAGTTGCATTTCAGAAGCTTTTTGTTCATTGATTAGTTTAGAAATATATTCGCCCATGAATGCGAAAATCAGAGGAAGCAAAAATTTCTTTTCACTGGGAGCAAACCACAAGTCCTGGTTTCGACATGTTTTTTAGCGTTCCCAGAGCCGCTCAGAAAAAAAAAAAACTGTTTCACAAGAATGCTGGGTTGTGAACAAAACTTTCGCCCCAGGCGGGACTAGAACCCGCACCTCTCGCTTTCCGGGCAAGTGCGCTACCAGTTACGCTACCGGGGCACCATTTCATTCCAACTCAGCTTTTCATGGTATACGTACCATAGCTTGTCAGCACTCACACGTTGTTCCTTGTTTTATTTTCCCTGCGCGTGTCTCTATAACGTGCAGAGACCCGTTTTGAGATAGGGCTCCTCTTCTGAAAGACTTTCCTGGTTACACATATTACGCCTCCCCTCAAAACGCCGCCTCCACCTACAACTCGACCTCCGTTCTGGAGCGAAAGGTCTCCGATTCAACTAACATGCCGTGGTTGGCTGAGTGGGGTTAAGAGTATCTACAGGAAGGGCCGCAAAGACTGATGGTGGTGGCGAAAAGTTGTGTCGAGAACCACATCGTGGAGGGGTCGTGTTTCTGGAATCGCACATCGGACAATTGTCCCTGAGGGGAGGGAAAGTAAAGAAGAGGAATGATTTCGGAGGAATATCAGTAGATATCCAACGGGAAAGTTATGTGATTGTACAGTGTGTTTCATTTTTCAGTGTGCCATTTCGGAAGTGTTTCACCTCGGGCTGTGGTGAAGTTCATTCTCTAGCTGTGGACGGTCGAATGTGGCAGCAATGAATAAAGAAGATCCGTTGAACGACATGCCGAAGGAGCGCGAAGAGACATCATCAAAAGCAAAAAAGCCACATATGAGGTACGTTTTTACGGAGTGGATCAGGCAACGTTGAACCAGCTTTGATGCAAACTAACTGGATGGAACACCTTGATTTAAGTGGACACGGTAAGCACTGAGCTTAATCATAAGCGGTGGAAGGAAACTTATGGAAATAAATGCTGTCGACACATCGCAGGGTACCCTCTAAGTATTGGTCAATGCTGAGCATTAGCTTCAGAGCAGGAAGCACAATGGCTGGTGATAGCTCATTGAGTCATTTGGTGAAAGGTCGTTAAGAATGTTTCACAAGAATGCTGGGTTGTGAACAAAACTTTCGCCCCAGGCGGGACTAGAACCCGCACCTCTCGCTTTCCGGGCAAGTGCGCTACCAGTTACGCTACCGGGGCACCATTTCATTCCAACTCAGCTTTTTTCGCGCGGGGTTCGAGTCCCGCCTGGGGCGAAAGTTTTGTTCACAACCCAGCATTCTTGTGAAACATTCGCAACGCGAACTGCGGCGTTAAAACAGCAGTTAACAAACAAAAACAAGTCAAAGATGGTATTACAAATGCTCCTTGAAGGGAGAATTTGCGATGAAAAAGCAACCCATTCCGAAGAGTTAAGGAATGAGAGTGGTACAAAAGAAGAAGGAAAAACCACGAGAACGACCCAGGACTCGAGAAATGAACCCCTTTCTTACTCGTTGAATTGCGCATTGATGCGACTCGGTCTGTGCCTCTTAAAACACTAATACGCCTCTTGATGGTTGAATCAACTGACCGCGATATAGGCCTGCGGCGAAGTGACTACGATAGAGGAGTTGGTGGGCCTTGCGCATATGGAGCGAGCCTGTCTGATGGCCTCGCAAGGTGCAAATCTTTCGCTGTCAACTGGTGTTGTGTTCAGTCTGCACCCTCAGGAGTTCCGCCTGTCTCCTCTTTTGCAACCTTCGTTCTTATCGTGGAAACCTTTAACGCGCTCTGTGGTCTAGTATTCGTGATGTCATTGAACGTCATGGGTGATTACCGGCCTAAAGCCCACTAATGACGTGAAAATGGCGCCATCGAAACCGCGCCACCTCTCAGCAATCTGATCATTGCCTTTAATCAGTGCAAGAACAAGGTGCCCACCAAAGTAGTTTTACATTAGAAAGAGTTTTCCAGATACTGGAAATACTCGGAAAAGGATCATTTGGTGCGGTGTTTCGAGTTCGACGACTAGAAGATAACAAAGAACTAGCGATGAAATGTGAATCATACAAAGTTAAAAAACAGGTATGAAACACATAAATGGGAGAGAAAAGGCTGTATGGATTGAAGCTTCGATCTTAACAAGGCGAAATATTCTCAGGCAAGGAAAATTTTTTAGGGTGTCCGCATACCTTTGATACGCACCGTAGTAATCGAAGTCACAAATCAGTCGTGGCGGTCACCTTGCGCAAATAGGCCCCATTTGGCGCAGCGCAAAATGGATGTCATATTAGTGATGGAGTCCCTCAATAAACTGCAAAGCAAAAGTTTCAACAAAACACTCATTCTAACAATGTCGCCCTTGCTGGGGTTATAAAAATGCAATAGTGCGCGGTCTCTGAGACAACTGATTTTTACCTGGACAGCCGTTGAATTCGTTTTGAGTTCGTTTCTTTTTATTAACCAGATTAGTCCCCCGTCAACCGCCGGGACCTTCCTTTCCTGCGCAAGCTTTCTATCCTCCGCTATGGTCCCTTCCTCCTGTGACACCAACACCTGGAAGTGACGCGTATGCAACACAATGGTGTTTCATACAGTAGAAGGGACACAATCATGATATGACGGTAGATTTTTCGCTTCCCTTCCTCATCCTCCCTTCCTCTCTCCACTGCCCTCCAGCTGCCACTGCAGCACCATGTGGAATGAACGGAAGTGTGCTAAGCAGGTGTTTATATAGCCCTAAGAGTGTTATCACAACTATCCTGCTATATATCTCAAATCCTGTAAGCTACCCGATTTGTTAGCGGTTTGTTTATCCCATGAGCTTCCTTCTCACTCACTTCATTTTGCGGACGGACACACATACATACATACATACATACATACATACATACATACATACATACATACATACATACATACATACATACATACATACATACATACATACATACATACATACATACATACATACATACATACATACATACATACATACATACATACATACATACATACATACATACACACATACAGACATACAAACCGACACACAAAGTTAGCGCTTTATAAAACCAGATTAGTCCCCCGTCAACCGCCGGGACCTTCCTTTCCTGCGCAAGCTTTCTATCCTCCGCTATGGTCCCTTCCTCCTGTGACACCAACACCTCGTGGAAGTGACGCGTATGCAACACAATGGTGTTTCAAACAGTAGAAGGGACACAATCATGATATGACGGTAGATTTTTCGCTTCCCTTCCTCATCCTCCCTTCCTCTCACTGCCCTCCAGCTGCCACTGCAGCACCATGTGGAATGAACGGAAGTGTGCTAAGCAGGTGTTTATATAGCCCTGAGAGTGTTATCACAACTATCCTGCTACAAAACATTGATATCTCAAATCCTGTAAGCTACCCGATTTGTTAGCGGTTTGTTTATCCCATGAGCTTCCTTCTCACTCACTTCATTTTGCGGACGGACACACATACATACATACACACACACACATACAGTCGAGATCCGAAAGTTGGGGTAGGCGTGTCACCGGAAGTGACGTGGACTTGATAGAAGTTGCGTAGATAAGTCGTTGCCAGCATGCTTTGCTGATATCTCGCGATGTATATTGGAAGCACCTTATCCACATAGATTCTATCAAGTACACGTCACTTCCGGTGACACGCCTACCCCAACTTACGGATCTCGAGTATACATACACAACCGACACACAAAGTTAGCGGTTTATCTAATAGAAGGATAATCCCTTTTCTTGAGCATGCCTTAAGAACGTTCTGATTCGAAATGGCGATTCACCGGATTCTCCGAATGTAGTTAAAAACTGCTGACGCAAAAAATTGCTTTTTGGCAATACTCTTCTGCGAAAGCGTACGGGTGTTGGTTGCAAGGAGAGGGAGAAGGACTTTTCGGTTTTCGTAGTAGGAGCCATGATCACTTTACATCAGCGGTGGATGGACCTGGATATTCCCGCCTGTGAAAAACGAAAAAAATCGCTTGACTGTCTTAGCGTCGCACACCCGGATCGTACTGTACTCTGCATTGATAGATCATTCTGTTTGAAATACGCTCTCAAAAGCAACACGAGTACTCAAAACTAGAATGGTATACACCATGCCAAAATTCACTGATAGTCGAACATAGAGGCTATTAGCGCAGAAGGGAACGTTTTCAACAACCGATGCACCAATTTGGTGGATTACCAAAGGAATATTGTACTAGGACGTGCAACAAGGATTTATTACTACGTTTAGCACAAGTATCGACCACAATAATACATTCACGGGGTTTATATACACAATATGTGGGCGGTCCTCAGATATCGTACCGTCGCTGGACCGTAGGGGGCCAGCGGTGGTACTCAAGTTTGGGGAATGAAAGAGCGGACCGCGCCGACGGCAGAACCTACTTGATTGCACACTTATGATACCGCCGGGTCATGCCTGCGGTATCATCTCAAGAGATACTCATATCAAGTTATGCCTATGGTTAATAAGTTGAACTAGCATGTTATCATTCATTTGGTTGTGTTCCACAACACTATTGAAAGAGCCCCGCGATATCTCACTGCTTCTTTTGTATAGCCGTTGCTGCATGTCAGGGAAATGTGCATGACGTTACTGCATATGGAAGCGTTTTTTTTTTTGCAAAAATTTTAGGAACCGATTTTCCGACTGCACGTGGCTAAAATATTGCTCCAGTAGAGAAAAGGGAATTTTCAAGTCAAACAAAAAGAGATATTAGTGTGGGGAAAGGCAGTGTGGAGTGAAAGTCCATTTGCTGCGAAAGTGATCAGCAATCACTTAAATACAAATTGGCATACGAAAAGCCCGACTTTTGCAGATTTTGAGGCATGAAGCTAGAGTGCTCGAAGGCATGCGAAAAGTGCGCTCGGTACATTTTATCAGCTACGAAGATCGCGGTAAAATCAGCGGCCGATTTATGTTCGTCGTGCTCAGACTGGTAAACGCACGATTTTCTCTACAAAAATTTTTCTTAGTGTGGTTTGAAGTAGAGATTTCCTTAGCTGTAATGACCTTCGTTATATACCATGCGAGCTCCTGATAATGCAATAAGTTGAAGGTTGGCAAAAACTTGTGGGACTTGCGTATGGAAGCCGTTGACAGGCGTTTCTCGATGTCCACTGGAATACGAGCCGCCGAGCAAACGCTGTCTGGGATAAGAGATTTACACATAGTGAGTTTGATGCTATTTGCTACACGGTTCGGTTGCACTCGAGCATAACCTTCCCTAACAACGAAATTGGCTGGGTACAGTTGAACAGCACCAACAAGGTTGGAGAGCTCCTGAGCTTCATTGTTTATGAGACTTCTTTGTAATTTTATGGAAATGAAGCTCCGCCGAAACTTTATTTGACGACGTTTCGGGCCGTAAGCCCTTCTTCAGGTCTAGAAAAATATTCATACATTACGTGCGTACATAAAAGATACTGAATCAATTACAAAAGAGAAAGAACCAAGTTGAGGGGGAGCGGATGGGCACGGTGTTTCAGAGTTCTTCCCTATTGTTATTGGAGGGTTCCGCCTTAGTATCTCAAGCGCCTCCTTTATCTTCCTTTCTACCGGATCACTTACATTCATTCTTGTATATAACAGGACCTTGATCTCAGATGCACGTTCACGTGTGGGGCGCAAGGAGCGTTGTCTCAAAAAAGGGTTGTCCGGATAGCTGCTTGGATTCCGGAGAGCCCTTAGATGTTCGTCAAGCCTTTTGTAGAGAGGGCGTCCACTTTCTCCAACGTAAAACTCTGAGCATGACGCACACTCTACTTCGTAAACGGTGTTCTTCAGAAGGCAGATTTTCCGCTCCGCTTCGCAGTTTACACAGTTTATGCGACTCACTGACTTTCGTACAGTCGAGACGAAGTGAGCAGACGGCGCAGTGTTGGAATGCGGTCGGAATACTCAAGCGGATTGGCATCCCAGACCTCTTGATCACACGGTTTACGTCCTGAGCGATTCGGAGAGATAGGGTAGTACTAGTGGGGTGCCTCCCAGCGCTTGAAACGGGCGCCAACAATCAATACGTCTGCACCGTATCCATTATCGACAAGAATACGTGTCACCTTGTCGATAACTTCGAGAATTCTTGTCGATGTCATTATGCGAGCTGTTGCCAAGGTATTCTGAATACATTCCTCTTCATGAAGAGAGGATTGGCAGCTTCTAGAGTATAACAAGGTATTCTTTGAAGTGGTCTCCTTGTGCCACATTGAAGCACTTGGCCTTCTGATATTTTCACTCTGGTGTTCGAAAATGGGAGGATGTCGTCCTTGCTCAGTGCTCCACATGCAGTCAACGTGATGTTCCGTTTGTGCGAATTCAGCTTCATGCCCAGCCGTCTGACCGTATGGCAAGTTCTAGACTCCTGGGCGACGAAAAATAGTCAATCTACATAACGATCATAAGAAACAGCAGTCCCGAATTCAAAGAATTTCTTTCCAAACGATCCACGAATATGATAGCCAGAAGCGGTTCTATACGGCTGCCCATTGCTAACCCTATTTGCATGTAAATGTTGTTTCGAAACCGGAACATATTGGATTTAACAACATTTGTCAGAAGCTCTGCGACGTCGTGAATGGACAAACCGTAAAACTGACAAAGATGGTGGTGTTATCGCAAAAGGTGAATGCATGCTTCAATTGCTGTTCTCTCGTGTCTACGTTGGTATATGAGAACAGACACATCAAAATTTTGGTATGATATCCTTGAAGCGTTTGGAACCATCCCGTCACGTAGGCAACGCAAGGAAATGTTCAGCGTTCTTCAGGGCCAAATCTTTCCACCTGAGATTCAAGGTCCATCTTACATACTATAAAGCGCTTCGTCTGTCGTTCTGTCTGTCGTTCTGTCTGTCTGTCGTTCTGTATGTCTGTCACGAAATTCCCTAGCTCCTCGGGATCCGCCTGGAGGGACCGGGTCAAGTGTGGGATGGGTGGGCAGGGTCTCACGAAGTACAAAACACACATCAGCTAAGCGGAGCCCCGCCCACAGTGGGCGTGGCGTGCGTCGACATGAAGTGTACCAAAGACCGAGATTTTCGATTCTCTTAAAAACGACCTTGAAACTGGGCCAAAAAGTGGGTAAGGTGTGCATTGGTAAGTCACATCGAATTAGGGAGACCCACCCCCGGTGGGCGGGGCGTTCTCTAAAAAAGCAGTGCTTTATGAAAAATTTCATAACTCGGTTGGGAGAAAGCCTACAGAGCAGAAAACAATTGGTGTAAGGGAGCAATGTCTAAGGTGTTTCCAGCATACATGACGTGGGCGGAGGCCTGCCCAGAATGGGCGGGGCGCGCTCTGAAGTGTACAGCATTTTCTACAAGCCCTCATAATTCGGGTCGGGGAAGTCTTAAAGAGCCGGAAAAAGGTGGATAGAGGTGTATGGAGGAGTGGAGGCCAGCTGTCATCGGTGGGCGGGGCTTGACCAAAGTGGGCGGAGTTTGCGACGAAAATTCATAACTCGGCTCGAAGAAGTCCCGGAGGCCGGGAAAAAGGTGGATGGAGGTGGGTGGAGGAGTGGAGGCAATCGTCATCGGTGGGCGGGGCTTGACCAAAGTGGGCGGAGTTTGCCAAAAGTGTCGCAATTCGGTTGCAAGAAGTCCTAGAGATAGGGGAAAACGGGGTTAGAGGTTGGTGAGGGAAAGGAGGCTCAACTGCTATTAGTGGGCGGAGCACGCACCTAAGTGGGCGGAGTTTGCCAAAAGTGTCGTAATTTGGTTCCAAGAGGTCCCAGAGACCGGGGAAAAAAGGGGTAGAGGTCGGCGAAAGGAAGGGGGCCAAATGCCATGGGTGAGCGGGCATGCACCGAAGTAGGCGGAGTTTGCTACGAGATTTATTGTCCGCAAGCAGTCCGGAGACCGGGAAAAAGAGGGTAATGGTGGTTGACGAAGAAAAAGAGGATGAAAGCCGTCGATGATGGAGCGGATAGAATTTAGCTGAGAAGTTCAGATATTTGTTTTGTATCAAAGCCAAATACGAAAATTTTCGCCGCACCATCGAAATTCGATGCAGATCTGTGTTGTGCGCGCAATGCGTGCGCGCCAACTGTTGTTGAGTTATTACGGAACGTAAGTGATCAGGTGGGAAGGAAAAGAAAGGACGCTCGAGATACGGAGGCCGGAGCCCTCCAATTAACAGTAGGGAGGAACTCTGAACCACTGTGGAAATCATCGCTATAGAATGACATCATTGATGGAGGCTACGTGGCGGCTGGTAAAATGGAAGCGTATCGAATGCTACCATCTTCACCACCATCCACCGCGAGCTGCTCTATTTCTTCCCGCGTCAGTAGCAGGAGAGGTTGGTCCCTTTCATGAAGTATCCTACATTACTGTACCACCATTCTTATCATCACAGCGATCCACGAGCAGAGTCCATCCACTCCCCCTGAACCCGGTTCTTCCCCCGTTTTGTAGTTGGTCAGTAATTCTTCGGCATTTCGTATATCATGTTATGGTATATCTTTTATATACGCAATCGTAATCCCTACTATATATAAAGCGCTATGTCTGTCTGTGTGTGTGTGTGTGTGTCACGAAATTCATAGCACGCGTCGCAGCAGTCGTTAGGAGCTGATTTTTTGATATGATATAGGGGGTGGGACGGGAACATATTTGGTGGGGGTCACAAAGTGATAACGACTGATAAGAGCAGATAAGAGGCGCTGAAACACAAATTTCACGAAATTCATAGTGCGCTTCGCAGCAGTCGTCAGGAGCTGATTTTGGGGCATGATATAGGGGGTGGGACGGGAACATATTTGGTGGGGTCAAAAGTGATAACGACTGATGAGGACTGATAGTAACGATATGCGTACGAACGTAGAGAGCACTTGAAATAGAAAATAGAGAGCAGATTGTAGATAATGCCTTTCATTTCAATATCATTTCATCAGCGTTGTAATTGTAAACTCCACCTTCCGACCGCTACACCTTCTAGAGTTCTTGAGGATGAATGGGATGCTCGAATAAATATGATAATGAATACTAGGCATTCCGTTTTGAGATATTCGACCGCTAAATTACCTCGATACTCGACGCATAGTGGTTGTTTACATCATCACTTTAGCTGTGCACTTCACTGCGCTTATCAAACAGTGAGATACAGCCAAGATGAGCAGCCTATGCAACGGACAGTAATACATGTAACGAAGCAGCTGTAATTTAGCGGTGAAACCTAAAGCTTCATCGATTGTCAGTTCTATCAATGCGCGCGGTAGCGGGCGGAGCTAAACTGGTAGATGCCAATAGTGATTTACTTAGACCTGAAGAAGGGCTTACGGCCCGAAACGTCGTCAAATTAAGTTTCGGCGGAGCTTCATTTCCATAAAATTACGAAGAAGCACCAACAAGGGTCAAACGTCTGTTGCGCTGTTCCCAAAGATGCGGTATTTTGGGTTGCGGGATGGGTCATCTTTTGGTTTCTGTGTGTTGGTGATCGCTAGCATAGGAATGTTTCTTGTTCGAGATCTTCATGAGAGTCATACCGCAGTTGCGGGGAAGGCGAGAGATTGTTTTTTACATTTTTTCTGCTGTTTTCGACAACTCATAAAAGGGGTAAAAAGGCCGAAATCATAGCATCTGCCGTTTTTCCAATTTTTAGTTCTATTTGATTCCTCCTCCTCCTTCTCTCTCCGCTCTACGCTACTCTGAAGGAGGTCAGAGGCAGAGCTGGAGTGTATCGACTGGTCTGATTATTCGAATACTATAAAAACCAGCCATGGTGGTGAGAGCAATAGTCGAGGGGTGGGGTAGGGTTCGCATGGGGACCTTCCGAGGCTGATGGTGGTGGTGGGGGTCGTATCGACACTCCATCAAAGGTAATGATGATGGTTGGACGGCTTTGCTATTTTGATGGCGTCGTTGAGCGTTGTTAGTGGGAGGGCTTGAGCGGCGATCCTATGACACCCTCAGCGCGCTGCGTGTTCTGAACGACATTTGACGACGTCCATCAAATGCCGCACCGCACCATACCATCGGGCTGCTGACTTCGAAATGAGGGGATTGTAGAATACCAAAATCGAACACCAACGATCCACTCGGACAGTGCCCAATCCATTTCTACACCTCAATTTCTTTGGAGGATATTGCTGTGACCATTTCAGTGCGGTTTCCTCCCATCGAGATATCAAACCACCGAATTTCGCCATAGGACGAGAAGAACACAACAGTCAGCAAACCATCTTCATTCTAGATTTTGGGCTGTGTCGACGGTATAGGTGAGGCGTAAGAAATCAATCGTCTCTGTTCTAGTAGGGGCATTTTGATTGCAATCGATAAAGTTTGGCGCAGTGTGGCTCTCGACGGTAATCTTTACCCCGGCACGAAACCCTTTCGGCAGTCGTGTAAACTCCACACATTACAGCATTTCATGCATGTCAAGTGAACTGTGTCAAAATCGATACGAACAGCCTCTAAAAATGCAAAAAAAGAAACAACTGTTAATGCAAAAATGAACAAAGGTAAAAACCCTTCAATACGACGAGAATGCTGCATTTTTCAAGCAGCTTCCCGTTATCGGATGGCTAAGTTCAAGTTGGAGTATACTCGATATCCGAAAGTTGGGGTAGGTGTGCCACCGGAAGTGACGTGCACTTGATAGAAGCTACGTGGATAAGCTGCTTCCAACATACATCGCTGGATATCAGCAAAGCATGCTGGCAACAGCTTATCCACGCAACTTCTATCAAGTGCACGTCACTTCCGGTGACACACCTACCCCAACTTTCGGATATCGACTGTACTCTCCTGTATTCTCAAATGGTACATAATCGACCTGGTTCACTATGTGCATCAAATCAGTTGCGAGCGCTTTCGTTTGCTCTCCCTAAACCTGGCGCCGAAAACCACGTGGCACACGTGGCTAAATTCTCGATGAAAAGGTGACATCACGTGTGCTCAAAGATGTTCTTGAATCGATGCCACGTTAATGCCACGTCAATTTCTGCAATTGCACAATTTCTGGTCATTTGAAGGCGAGGGTAGCAATACAAGCTATGCATGAGTTCCGTATAGAATACGTTCTCAACAATGAAAAGAACACGGTGATGATACTGATATGAAATCTGCATGTGAGGCAAGAAGGAGAAATCAAAAAGGAAACATAGAAAACATTGTGCTCCAATACCGAAGTTTGCAATAAATCGTGCAACGTTCATACATAACAGCATTATTTTTTACTGAAAGGACTTACCTGTTCTGGAGTGAAGTAGAGTAGTGCCAGAGAATAAAACAATGCAGCAGAGATCCAAATAGTAGTAAAAACCAAAAAGTA